AGTAACTGAAGGCTGACATAATATAGATGACATTAGTGAATTTTCCCCATTGAAAGGGCTACCCAAATATCATATTGTATGCACATGTTTATGAATAAATTTTAAATAGAATCAATTTTATATACTTACCATTAAATCTTAAATTTTTTTTTTTAATTTTTTTTTTTTTAATTTATTATTTCTAAGAGAGAGAAAGGCAGCGTGAGCAGGGGAGGGTCAGAGAGAGAGGGAGTCACAGACTGAAACAGGCTCCAGGCTCTGAGCTGGCAGTCAGCACAGAGCCCGACGCGGGGCTCGAACCCACGAACGTGAGATCATGACCTAAGCGAAAGTCGGACGCCCAACCGACTAAGCCACCCAGGCGCCCCAAATCTTAAATATTTTTAAATAATACTTGATTTATAAAGTTTAATTCTTACTAACTCAGGTTACCATTAAAAAAATTAAGATGCCCTATTCACATTCATAAGCCACAAAATACTTCAATAATTATGTACTGACCTGAATAAAGCAAAAAGTTAAAAATCTCTAGTCTAGGTCAACCTGTTCATTTTACATAAAAGGAAATAGGATTCTAGAAATCAAGTGATTTACCCAAATTCAGCAACTTGCCATAGCAACAGAACTTTAAAAATAAATGGAACTTTTCAGAAAATGTTTTCCTGGGGGTGCCTGGGTGGCTTAGTCGGTTAAGCGTCCGACTTTCGCTTAGGTCATGATTTCGCGGTTTGTGGGTTCGGGCCCCGCATCAGGTTCTGTGCTGACTGTCAGCTCAGAGCCTGGAGACTATTTCAGAGTCTGTGTCTCCCTCTCTCTCTGACCCTCCCCTGCTCACACTGTCTCTCTCTCTCCTAGAAATAAAAATATTTTTAAAAAAAGTTTTCCTGTATTAAAAAACTACTCTTTATCCTTCTAAATAGAAATATTTCATAATTATCAACCTTTCTTTTAAAAAAATCTCAGAATATTTGTCACATTTTATTTATTGTGCTTAAAAATTAAATACTGTGTTCATCATGGTTATAAATTAATATATTACACAATTCATAAGCTCTTGCCTAATTTACAATTTCTATAAATTTCTTTGCCTAAAATTATCAAGGGAAAGTAGATATGCTCAGTCAATATAGATAATACATTTTACTTACACAGCTGACTGAAGTTATTTCTTTTATAATCTTCCTCAACACAGCACTCCAGCCATTACTAGAAAGGATAAATTTGGCAAGTGAGATGAACCCTATTTGTCTTTTTTTTTTTTTATATTTTTATTTATTGCTAGGAGAGAGAGAGACAGCGTGAGCAGGGGAGGGTCAGAGAGAGAGGGAGTCACAGACTGAAACAGGCTCCAGCCTCTGAGGTGGCAGTCAGCACAGAGCCCGACACGGGGCCCGAACCCACGAACCAAGATCATGACCTAAGCGAAAGTCGGACGCTTAACCGACTAAGCCACCCAGGCACCCCAGCCCTCAAATCTCATGAAAGTGCACTACTTCATTTATTCCCCAAAGTCAAACCCATATTTTTTAAGCTATTCCACAAAAATCCAACCTCAAGGGATGAAGGATTCTCCAGACTTAGTTCTTCCCAAAAGAACATCCTGCAAATTCTTAAAATTTCAAATAAGAATTCCCAAAATGATTCATAAATGAGAGGAAGACTTCCTCTAAGAATAACACTTAATCTCCATTATTTGTAGATTCCATGTCTGCAAATTCTCCTACTCACTAAAATTATTTTCAAACTCAAAATCAATGCAACACTTTCACATCATTCACAGACACAGAGGGGCAAAAAGTTTGAACCATGCAATGCTGAGGCTGAACAATGCAAAGCTCTGCCTTCTTGTTCCAGCTCTCATTCTGTAATACTGTAAACGAATGTCCTTCCCATGGCCTATTTGGTGTCACTTTTTTACATTTTTGTATTTTTTGTAGGTGAATTCCCCATTTAAAATGGACCCCATACATAGTGCTTAAATGTTATGATGAGGCTCACATGAACCTAATGTGGAATACTCCTAGGAGCAATGGTTCAGTATTCACTAATTCAGTGTTCACTGTAACTATTATAGAGTATAACTACACCAAATAACAAGAATGGACTGTACTTTGAATGCGGCACTTCTATACATTGAAAGTTAAATAACATGACAGGTTAATAAAGCTCACTCATCAAAATGAGCTACCACTTCCAACACAGCATTATTCCATGAGAATGATGTCAAATAAATGGTTCAGAAAATAGGTGCTAAAGTTCTAGGAAAAAGATTTTTTTTATATAAAGTTTATTTTGAGAGAGAGAGAGAAAGCGCAAATGGGGGAGGGGCAGAGAGGGAGAGAGAATCCTAAGCAGGCACTGCACTGTCAGCACAGAGCCAGATGCAAAGCTCAAACTCATGAACCATGAGATCATGACCTGAGCCTAAGTTGGATGTTTAGCCAACTAAGCCACCAGGGCACCCCTAGGGAAAAGACTGCTATTCTTATAGTTCTAGAGTCTTCCCCAGCCAAGACAAAAGTAGACCAGTCTTCTGTCATTAGCTATAACATATAGAGGCAGGCATCAGAAGCTTAAGCACAAAATCATCAGTCAGAAAAGAAAAAAGTAAGTTCAATATGGGCAGTAAGTTCAAACATGGTCTTGGTGAGTACAAAAAAAAGAAATAGAGCCTGTGTCCTGATGGGCCAAAGTTCTTTAAAGGGCCTAAGAGCGGGTTTACCACCAGTGAAGAAAGGTAAATTTTAAGTGGAGATTTCAGTAAGCCACTGTACTCGTATGTTTAAATTTTGTAAGTATCAAACCCTTTTCATGGTTTCTCTCTGAAAAATTACTTTACCCAATTGTGACAGTTTAATTCTGTGTTAGGCCACAGTACCCAGATATTTGGTTAAATGCTATTCTAGGTGTTTCTGTGAGGGTAATTTTTGGACAGGATTAACATTTAGCTCAGTAGACTTTGACTAAACCAGATTGCACTCTATAATGTGGATAAGTCACATCCAAGCAATTGAAGGCCTTAATAAGTCCGGCAGAGGACAGATACCATATGTTTGCACACATAGGTGGCTTAGGAAGAACTTAATGGAGTTACCATGGGGAAGGAGAAGGGGAAACATAGTTGGGGAGAGGGAGGGAGGCAAACCATGAGAGACTCTTGAATGCTGAGAACAAACTGAGGGCTGATGGGGGTGGGGAGGAGGGGAAGGGGGGTGATGGGCATGGAGGAGGGCACTTGTTGGGATGAGCACTAGGTGTTACATGGAAACCAACTTGACAACAAACTATTGAAGGGAAAAAAAGAAGAAAAAAAAGAAAAATACTGACTTCTCCTGCAAGAGTTCAATTCCACCAGCAGACTGACATCAGACTCAAACCGCAACTCCTTCCTGAGACTCCAGCTCACCAGAGACTCTCTACCTTGCAAATTTTGGACTTGCTAGCCTCCACAACTGTGAACCAATCCCTTAAAATCAATTAATCAGGGGTGCCTGTGGCTCGGTCGATTAGGCGTCCGACTTCAGCTCAGATCATGATCTCATGGTTTGCAGGTTCGAGCCGAGTCGGGCTCTGTGCTGACAGCCAGCTCAGAGCCCGGAGCCTGCTTCGAATTCTATGTCTTCCTCTCTCTCTGACCCTCCCCTGCTCACACACTCTCGCTCTCTCAGAAATAAATAAAAAAAAAATTTTAAAAATCAGTCTCTCACCCTCTTTATATATATATATACACATTTGTGTGTATATATATACATGCTGTGTGTGTGTGTGTGTGTGTACATATACACACACACAAACTAGCAGTTTCTCTGGAGAAACCTAACACACCAATATAAATTTCAAAATGCAAATACAATATTGAAGTAATTAGAATGCAAGTCCTCCGTGCCCTACAAAAGCAGAGATCTAATTTCAGTTCATTGACCTTGGACAATACCTGGGATACATCAACCAATGCAATACTTGCTGAATGAATATTAGTAAACATATATTGTCTTAGTAACTTCTATCTATTGATTATGCTGTTTCAGGCACTAGGCTAGGAGGTGTCTTATCTTTGTTCAGTGTTTTATTCCCGCACAACATCCCTTCAAGAGACCAATTTTAAGTTCCTATTACATACATAGACAAGGAAACAGGCTAAGAGTTTAGGTCTGTTGCCCACAGCCACAATAATTGGCAAAGTGAGCTAAAATTCAAACAAAGGTATATATGATTCTTCAAACTTGAAATGTAACTTATAGAAAATAACATAATCCATAAAAAAGGAGAGGTACAAATAAAATGAAAAGATAATTACTAAATCCCAGACCATAGAGGCAAATTTAAAACAAATTAATAAAAAGTTGTATTTATCCCAAAGAAAAGTCTGGATCTCATTACTAAAAGGGGCAGTGCCAGGGCTGGGTGGCTCAGTGGGTTGAGTATCTGACACTCATATCATGATCCCAGGGTTGTGGCATAGAGCCCCATGTCAAGCTCCATGCTGAGCATGGAGCCTGCTTAAGATTCTCTCCCTCCCTCTCTCTCTCTTACTCTGCTCCTCTCTCTAAAATAAAAATCAGGGCACCTGGGTGGCTCAGTCAGTTTGGACATCTGACTCTTGATTTCGCTCATGTCATGATCTCACAGTTCACAAGATGATGCTCCAAGATGAGCATGGAGCCTGCTCTGGATTCTTTCCCTCCCTCTCTCTGCCCCTCCCCCACTCACTCTCTTTAAAAAACATTTTGAAAATAAAATTAAATACATAAAAGGGACAGTACCAATGGAATATTTAAAAAGAGAAGAATCATTTGACTTACATTACCTTACTGCTACATCTCTAATCTTTTAATGTTGATGCCACTAGATACATGCATTCACTCCCGTAAAATACATTTGATGGCGTGACCTCCATCACCAACCTTTCGCTGCTGTTCTTACTATTCTATTTTTCATCATGAAGTGCTCATCAGCTTTCGCTGTCAAGGAAATAATCTTAGATCACATACCACGTATGAATGTTTCAACTTTATTCGACATTTTTAAATGACGCTACAAACTCATCCGCATGTAACGCACGGTACCAAAAAGGTGCTCCAAAAACACACGGTTATGAACTGAATAAGCACAGCGGTTGCAACATCAACCCAACTAAGCACTTGCACTCATTTAAGCAAGCCACCGCTTCTTCTGAAAGCTCCTCGGGCGGCAACAGCGGCTCGGCGTCGTCTTCCATCTACGCTCTTCTGAACTCGCTCAGATGGCTCAGCACATACCCGCTCGGGGCTAAGAAGACCGTAAAACACAACACGAGCGCGACGGCGCTGTCCTGGGGGGGGTAGGGGAGGAAAGGGGAGACGAGACGCGCAGTTAAAGCCGGCCGCTCGCTGGCCGGGTCCCCTCGCTGCCGACCAAGATCGGCGGCCACCTTCCGAGGAGTTTGGCTGCTCTCCTGTGACGTGGCCTGGCGAGGCCTAAAATAGCAGGGCTTCCTTTCCTAGACGCCCCGACTTCAGTCTGGGAAGCAAACACCTCTCTCTTCTGACGCTCCCCTTCCCCCCGCATCTGACCGAACCCGCGAACGGAGGCGCTACCCAGGATTCCCCGCGGTGGAGGGCAAGCAGCAGGCGTCCGCACCGAGGGCGTTCGAAGGCGGCGGACACCGCGCGGCGCAACGACGGTTCTGCCCTTGCCCTCGCCGCGCTCCCCGAGGCCTCCTCGGACCCCCAACAGCCGCCCGGCACCGACCGCCCCCCGCTCCTCCCCGTCCGTCGGGGCGCTCCCGCCTCGGCTCCGCGCCGCCGTGAGACGTGGGCCGCCACTCACCACAGTCGACTTGGAGTGCTGGCGGCGGCGAGACTCCGAACGGACCAGACGGCGGCCGGACAGTAGCCCCAGCTGGGTCACGCGGCGGCGGGGCAGCAGGCAAACGACGAGCAGGCGGGGCATGGTGTCCAGCGAAGCGAAGTGACTCGAGGCTGAAGAGACAGCAAGCGCGAAGTGAAGCGAGGCGCTGCACGACGGTACGAGCGGAGAAGAGAGGCGCTGCACGACGGCACGAGCTTCCAGGAGGCGGATTTGCGCAGGCGCCCTGGGCCACAGAGGGGCCCGCGACCCGCCCCCGACCCAGCTTCACTCCGCCCCTACCCCGCCCCTTCCGCTCAGTGCCCTACTATGCGCCTCCCATATCCCCCACTCTTTCCGCTCTGCCAGTTCTGCTCAATCACCACTCCCGCACGCGTTCCCTTCAGGTCTCAACCATCTTCCCGCGTGTCCCACCGAATTCCTCCTCATTTCTGGACCCCGGGGCTTAGTGTCTCTCTATTGTTCGCCCTGTTCAGCACCCCAACCCCACGTGCAGTGTTTTCTCCGTGTTCTGGGTAAGGCGAGACACTCAACCCTCTTCACTTCCCTTCGTCTTTCTGTCTTCTCAACGCGCATTACTTCTCATTGGCAGAGTTTATAACATATTCTGTTCTCTAATGTTGTTTTCCATCTATTGTCTATAAATCTATTCTCAAAGTTGAAAACCAAGAAGAATTAACTCTAGTGTGCTGATAATATAAAAAATAGTCATGGTAGGCTCAAATAGAGTCAACCCAGTAGCAAAGGTGATGTCACTAAACTTGCGGCTGTTGAAGGAAAAATGGAAGATTTTTTTTATTGTAAACTGTAATAAACCCTTTATCCACTCTCTAAAATGATCCAGTTTCTTGCCATGTTTTAAGCCTATTACACAACTAGCATTCAAAACTTTCCTTTAATTGCTCAGTTCCTGCAACATGATTATCTTCCTTTTTCTTAGATTCCTATTTCATTTTGCTGTAGTACATCCTTAGGCAATTCTTTTAGGAGTGGTGTTTAGGTCATAAATTTCCTCAGTCCTTGGACATTAAAAAAAATCTTAATTTGCTCCCCACTCACATGTTAAGTTGGCTGCCTATAAAACTCTAGGCTCAAAATCACTGTCCCTCAGAATTTTTAAAAGCATTATTCCCTTGTGTTCTAGTATATAGGGTAAGAGAAGTGTGATACCAGTATAATGCTCACCCCTTGATTCTTTTTTTCTTTTGAAATCTTTTTATGAGTCTTTTGTCTTTGGACTTGTGAAGTTTCTCCAAGATATGACTAGATATGGGTCTCTCTCCATTTATATGGATTACCACTGGGTGAAGACATGGGTCTTTGGCTCTGGGAGATCTACTTTTCCTCTACTCTCAATCTGAAATACCTATTAGATGTATGTTGGCTCTTCTTTGTGGGTCATCTCTGACTTTCAACTTTTCTCTTTTGTTCTCTTGTTTTACATTATGGGAGATAACCTTGATTTTTTCCTCTAGCCTTTCTTTTGAGCTTATCATTTTACAATGATATTTCTAACACATTAAATATTTGGGGTTTTTAGAGTCATCTATTACTATTTTGTAGATGCAGTGTCTCCTCAAGTTTATCTGAGAATATTAATTTCAACTTTTTTTTTTTAAAGTTCACTGCTATACCATGAACAATTTCTATTTCTTCTAGGGTGAATTCGTACTTATTTTGTCCTGATGATATTGGGTGACTATATTATGGCCCGTGGTTGTCCTTTTGTGTTGATGAATATGAGGAGCCAGATTAATCACTTGGGTTTTTTTCTATCACCAGTCCCTCTCCAGAATGAAAAAGCTGATTACATGATCTATATGTGTAAGCTGACTGTCAACTGGTGGGCAGGAAGACTTCCTCTCTCAGCCCCATGCCAAAGTGAGTAGTTCTACTCTAGGCTTTCCAACTGCTGCCATCCAAGGACATAACATGATTTCTTTAGAAGAATTACTCTATAGCCACTCCCTAGGACAAACTGCCAAAATATGCACAAAGTTGGGGGAGTAGAGGAAGAGCAAACCCACACATCCTTTCCACTGTTTTCCATCAGTTCCCTTGAACCTGTGCCTTTCCTCCCACTCCAGGTCTTTGCAGCTCAGCATTTAAGTAGCTGGGATGCTATGGAAAGCATCTCTTGTGTTCCCTGCAGCCTCTTGTGTGCTCAGAGCTGTGGCTCCTTCTTCTCTGCTTTACCAATAAGATCACATTTACCTTCGATGTTAGGGAAATTCAGCAAAACTACATTTGCTGATACAGCCTTGCTCCTCCACCTCTAATTTCACTCATGGATTTGTTTCCTCTTGTACTTCTTTACTGTTATTGTAATGGGATTTCAGGAAGAAGGCTTAATAAATACAGGAGCTCTTCATCTGCCTCAAAGTGGATGTCCCACTTGAGTCATTGGGATTTACTAAATGTCATAGGAAGCTACTAGAGTTTCTAAGCAGGGACAATTTTCATTTTTCAAAGATCACTCTGGCTGCTTTGTGGAGAAATATGGAGTGAGAGATCATTGCAGTCATTGATACCTACTAACCACATGTACTATACCAATACAGTATCTACCAGCCTTATGTGGCTTCTGAGCCCTTGGAATGTGGCAAATACTACTGAAGAACTGAATTCTTGGTATTATTTAATTTAATTTTAATTTGAAAACTTGCTGCTTGATTCAGTTATTGGAGAACTTCTATATTGGACACAACTTGGGCATTTCAATCTACTTTTTCAGCTATACACTTTATGAAATCTAAATATAGATGAAGTGTTTTGGATGAAAACTTAGCATCCAAATTGAATTCTGATTGTCACTACTAAATACAAAAATTTAGTGCCTTAGTCTGTTCAGGCTGCTATAAAAAAGTACCACAGACTAGGGGGCTTAAGTAACAAACATTTCTTCCTCAGTTCTGGAGGCTAGGAAGTCCAGTATCAAGGTATAGGCAGCTTTGGTGTCTGATGAAAGTTCACTTTCTAGTTCAAAGGCAGCTGTCTCAAGGTATCCACACATGGTAGAAGGGGCATGGGAGCTCTGTGGGATCTCTTTTATAAGGGCACTAATCCCAAGGCACCAGGGTGGCTCAGTCAGTTAGGTATCCGACTTTCCGTTTCAGTTCAGGTCACAGTCTCACAGCCATGAGATAAAGCCCTGCATCATGCTGAGCACTGGGTGTGGACCCTGAAGCTGATTCTCCCTGTCCTTTTACCCCTGTCCCGCTCACGTGCCTGTGTGTGCACTCACACATGCTCACTCTCAAAAAAGAAAGAAATAGGGGCACCTAGATGGCTCAGTCAGTTGGGTGTCTGACTTCAGCTCAGATCATGGTCTCTTAGTCAGTGAGCTCGAGCCCCGTGTCAAGCTGACAGCTCAGAGCCTAGAGCCTTCTTTGGATTCTGTCTCCCTCTCTGTCTGCCCCTCCCCTATTCATGCTCTGTTCTGTCTCTCAAAAATGAAGAAACATAGGGGCACTGGGTGGCTCAGTCGGTTAAGCGTCCAACTTCAGCTCAGGTCATGATCTCATGATTTGTGAGTTCAAGCCCCGCGTTGGGCTCTGTGCTGACAGCTCAGATCCTGGAGCCTGCTTCAGATTCTGTGTCTCCCTCTCTCTTTCTGCCCCTCCCCTGCTCATGCTCTATCTCTCTCTCTCTCTAAAATAAATAAATTGTTTAAAAAAATTTTAATGAATAACCGTTAAAATAAATAAATAAATAAATAAATAAATAATAAATAAATAAAATAGGGGCACTAATCCCATTGGTGAGGCTCCACCATTATAAACTAATCACCTCCCAGAGGCCCCACCCCCAAATACCATCTCATTAAGAGTCAGGATTTCAACATATGAATTTGCGCAAGGGGAATACAAGCATTGAGTCCATTGCATTTAGTAAGAAAAAAGAATGCAGAATATCTCAGGGCACCTTGGGTGGCTCAGTTGGGTAAGCATCCAACTCTTGATTTAGGCTGAGGTCATGATCTCATAGTTTTGTGAGTCTGAGCCCCATGTATATCGCCTGACCCTTCAGAGCCTGCTTGAGATTCTCTCTCTATCTCTCTCTGCCCCGCCCCTGCTCGAGCTCTCTCTGTCTCTCTCAAAATAAATTAAAAAACTTTAAAAAAAGAGTGCGTAATATCTCATTAATAAAGTTTTTATATTGATTACATATTTGATAGATTTAATTTTATATATATTCGGTTTAAAAATACACTATAAATATTAATTATACCCATTTATTTTCCTTCTTTTAACATGACTATTAGAAAGCTTAAAATTACACATCTAGTTCACACATTTCTTTGACAGTTCTGCTCTAGAATTTTATCCGTATCAATTCAGGTCCCGAATGAAAGTGCCTGGCCACTTCCCTACCTCATCTCCCCATATCCACTCTCCCCTTTGCTAATAGTGTCCAAGTCACACTACCCTCTTGAATCCACCTAGCTTTTTCTGTCTCGCTTGCTGGTCCCTGCCTAGAAAATCTCCTCTACACATTCTCACAGCACACTCCCTTACATCATTCAGTCCTTGGACCGCCCTGCAAAAAACAGCTCTGACCCTGCTCCCAACTGCTCTCTTTTCCCTTCTCTGCTTGATTTTCTTATGCCCATAAGGATCATCTGAACATATACATTTTAATTGTGTGTCTCTTTTGCTAGGAAGTGAGTATCGCAAGGGCCAGGGTCTTGTCTGACTTGCTTACCAGAACACACTCCAAAGAGCACCTCACATGTAGTAGGTACCCAGTAAATGTTTGTGGAATGAATTAATGCTCCTACCTCTGTGCTCTCTTTTCCTTTCCCTACTAAAGACACTGGAGGGAGTGGAGGATTAAATGCTGAGGGGAATTATACCCTCTCCTACACAGCAGGGGCTGACAAAATAGGCAAGGAAGGGACTGGATTGTGAAAAGAAAGAATGAATGCTTGTGGGAAATTTAGATATTGATCATCTCTTTGTAGCCATGACACTAACCATGGGAGATCATGAGTAGACAAAATGCACTAATGTATGACTATTCCCAGATGTTTCTCTCCTTCTGTGGAGCAAAGAGGACTCTGGTTTTGGCCACTCAATTTCTTTCTCTCCTTCACCCTCCAAGAAAGGTGTCAGAAATAATACCCTTTTGAAGATACTTTTGGCAGCAATCTTCTGAAGAGTTGAAAAGAAAGAAGTGTGAAGAGTTCCACTTTGTGAGTAAGGTAGAAAGAAATATGAAGGAAAATTTTGAGAATGATTGCTATAGTCTGTGTGTCCCCTTTAGGATAGCTGAAAAATTGAAATGGAAACTTGATTTTGAAATTGTTTCTGGGTCACAAATTCTAGGTCTCAACTGACATATCTGAGCCTGGACCACATGTTTGATAACTATAAAAGTTACATACTTTTAGACCATTTATATTAAGCATAAATAATGTAATCAATAAAAAGCAAAATTTTGTCAGATTGGATTTTTAAAAATAAGATTCAACTATATACTATCTAAAAGAAAGCCATCTTATTTTTTAATTTTATTTTTTTAAGTTTATTTATTTATTTTGAGTGAGAAAGCAAGCACAAGGGGGGGGAGGCAAAGAGAGAGAAAGAGAGAGAGAGAGAAATTATCTCAAGCAGGCTCCACGTTTCCCGAGCCGAAATCAAAAGCCAGACACTTAACCAACTGAGTCACCCAGGCAGCCCAGAAACCCATTTAAAAGATGAAGATATAGATACGCTCAAAGATGAAGATATAGATACGCTCAAAGATGAAGATATAGATATGCTCATAGATACAAAGGATGGAAAGCTATATTGCATGCTAATAGTGCT